TAGGTAGTATATAGTATTGTTGTATTGTATAGATTCTTAGCACTTTGCATTAGAATATAGCGTACCAGTATGAAATGCTCATGTTTTTGCATACTGCATACCCTCTTGTGCATTTAGCCCATCTGGGCAAGAACATGCAATAAAAAGATTCATATCATATCATTAATTTGCTCTTTAGATACAGTGATTTCGCCACGTTACTTTTGCACGGATTTGAAACTACCCTCTGTACATGCCCTGAAATGTTGTAGATCTGTTGGTAGATTGTTCTATGTGGAAATGCTTCTGTATCTGAAGCTTCTTTTTTTTTTGTGCATTGCAGGTGGAGAACCTTGGTGAGGTGGCTGGCCAGGCGGCCGCCGACCTGTGCGGGGACTACCCGGCGTACGAGCTGGTACCGGCGGGCCCGCACAGGACCAGGCGGATCGTGCCGCTCATCGTGCGCGGGGCCGTCGCGCTCGGGCGGAGCCGGGCGTTCCGGGCGGCCGTGGTCGCGGGGGCCACGCTGCTGTTAACGGGGGACACTCCGGCAGGACGAAACTAACCCGTAGTAATGCTTAGGTCACATTTCCAAACCGGGGCCCGGCCGGGCTGTTTGTACGAATGAAAAGTTAACTGCTGTTAACTGGGGACACTCCGACAGGCCGAAACTAAAACCCGTGTTAACAACTGTGACTTCTTTAACTCAGTTAAAGCATCTTAGTATACAGGACGAAACTAACCCGTGTTAACAATTACATGCATTAGTTAATTCTTTACTCATATATCAGTTCGCCACGCTGCTGTTAACTGGGGACACTCCGACAGGCCGAAACTAAAACCCGTGTTAACAACTGTGACTTCTTTAACTCAGTTAAAGCATCTTAGTATACAGGACGAAACTAACCCGTGTTAACAATTACATGCATTAGTTAATTCTTTACTCATATATCAGTTCGCCACGCTGCTGTTAACTGGGGACACTCCGACAGGCCGAAACTAATGCTTTGGTCACGTTGCCCAAATCCGTTCTCGGTCGGGCAGTTTGTGGGGACGAAAAGTATGATATAAAAGACAATAAAAAACAAAGGATAGACATCTAGATAATGAGGTATATGAGAAAACTGTTACTCAAGAAGGTTGATAGCAGTTTTCTTGTGAATAGAATTAGTAACTATGCGCAAATTATCAGTCACTATGAGTATTGTCGACTTCTTTTGCTCAATTATTTAGTATCTTTGGAAAGCGACTATCCAAATACTAACAAGTACTTGTTAGTAAACTCGTTCATTAAATGTTTAACTACCTCTGTCAATGAAATGCAAAGATATGTATATATATATATTTGATATAGAGATAAAGTATTACAATATATTTCAACTTCTAGTTATCACATATCGTTAAATGCTTTATGAATTTTCTTCAATAAATTTTTTAAGTTTTAATCGTGTGTACAGTATTTTTGTAACAAGGCACACTGTGTGAAGTTAAATGGACGAAACTGTCTAATAAATCCGTATAAAGAAACTTGTCTTCGGTCTCCGAGCTGTCTAGAAAGTCAAAGAATGTAATCTCCAAGTATCTGTATCTGTATAGCCGGTATAACCTCCTTTCGGCGTAACACACCAGCTTCTGTATCTGTATAGCTGGTATAATCGCCTTTCGGCGTAACACACCAGCTTCTGTATCTGTATAGCTGGTATAACCGCCTTTCGGCGTAACACACCAGCTTCTGTATCTGTATAGCCGGCATAACCGCCTTTCGGCGTAACACACCAGCTTCGCAAGCACGCGGCGCGGCGGCAGCTGGCTATATTACACCGATCGACTTGTTACACCTAACCCTTGAACTTCTAGCTCTAGACATTGTTTAAAGCTATCTATTGACAATGCCCCTACTGTACTTGGTGACAGTGAGTTCCACTCTGCGATAGTTCTAGGAAAGAATGAATTCTTGAACACCTCAATCCTTGGTTGATAACTCTGGTACTTGAAGGCATGACTATTTATTGTTCTCTTCTGGGCTGGTATTAGGTACGTCAAGTATATCTTTTGGTTGGGGTAAGACAGTCTGTATCAGTGGGGAAATGGATACAGACTGGCCAATTTGATACTGTCTTACCCCACCAAAAGATCTGCTTGGAGATTACAAAGAATGGCCCTGTGATGCTCCCGAAATCTTCCCATGCCGTCTCTCGTTCCTGTGGACAACTCAGAATGCCACCGATTCGCAATGACGTCCGCTCGAACTCGCACGTACACGCGCCTTGAACTTGTTACATGGTTGTGACGAACTGCCAAAAGGTTCTCCGGGGTGATCTGGCACGGGCCGCTAAACTCTGGCGGCGACTCCTCGACTCCTCAAGGGCGCGAATGACGCGGAAAAGCTGTCAATTAAGAACCCATTAGTCATGCTCCATCAGTGCTGAACCCCGTTTTCCTTACTTACAACTGCCGCTGGGGGGGACGGACGTTTTACTGGCAGTGGCGACTGACTGTGTCCCATAACCGCATACTCGCCGGGGTTACCACAACATTTTTACCGCGATACCGGACCTAGCTGCGGGTCCCCCTCGCACATAACAGTGGCCGGGAGAGGCGTGGGGACGCAGTGTTGTGGTGGTGGCACAGAAATTACCAGCGAATGACCGGGCAGTCCCCACAAGCTACTCTGCGAAAGGAAGGTACGCATAAGGTAGGACAGACTACTGTGTACTGAGACACATTTTGGACACGGCCAATGTTTGCATACAAACCCGCACCAGCCAACTTTTCGCCATCACCAGTCCGTACTCTCACTTTTGGTAATGTTTTGATTTATATGCTGTATTGAAATGGTGTAAAACAGATTTATAGGTGGTAAGTCATCCTACGTTTTCATGATGTTCCGGATGCCGTTATGGCCTGTTTAACCGCACATGGACATTGGTAGCCATGGATTCGGAATCGGACCGTGGCTGTATTACTGTGGAGAGTGTGATTAGCTGGTGGCCCACGTTAGCGTGTGGTTGTTTGTAGTAACAGCGGCGGAGAGACTTACAGCCCAGCATCGCGACATACGTACGCGTCGTGGCGGCATGCCGGCTATCCTGGGCTGTCGCTATATAAAGCCTGACCTTTTCACGACGGCAACCTTCGGGTACGACATATCGGTGTACTCTCCAAGCAGAGGTTTGGGTTTTGGGGGTATTTTTAGCGTGTTTGTAGGCTTTTTTTATCGGGGTTTCTCTTTTGCACTGAATTTGTTGGGTTTGGTGGGGGAAAAATTCAGTGCAAAAGAGAAACCCCGATTAAAAGTCCCAAAACAAGCTAAAAATACCCCCAAAACCCAAACCTTTGCTTGGAGAGTACGCGCGGCGCTGTATGTGGTGTTTGACATAACAGAACAGAACATAACATAACAGTCTGTGTTTAGACTTTACGGTGTCCGTCAGCATTCAGCAGATCATGGTTTATTACATCTTTGCATTTCAGTTATTTCATGACGACGAGGAATGCGTGAAATAATATAGATAAGAGAGAGACAAAAAAATCATGTCTCTGCTGTGGTGAAATCTAGTTTGTATACAAGCGACCTCACTTTCAGGACATCTTGTCTCGGATCTGTTTCGACGAAAACTATGGCCTGTAGTTTTGTGCCGACTCAGGAACGGTATTCCTGACACTGACTTTGCAATGTGCTACTTTCGAGCACAAAAGTCGGCATGAAAAAAAACGACCGTTTTTATCCTTAATGTGTTTGTAATTTTCCACACAGAAATAGAAGTGTTATTTTGACACGCTATTAAAAACATTTATGGCATCAAAACACGTACGTCACTCATAAATTCCAAAAAAAGAACCGACCAAACAAACGTGTTCTTAGAAGGCCACCGACTTAATGTAAACAGCAATAATATCATGTACAATGTAGTAGCAACAACAACAAACCACTCAAAACTGTCACTGAAGAATAACATAAACACCGGGCCATGAATGTCTTTCCGTGGGTGACCTGAAGGATAACAACAGCTGCAGGCCTCCGGGCAGAGGTTATCTAATAGAGCTGGTCATGTTTCATTTGGTGTTCACCACTTTGACACCATCAACACTCCTATCCTAGGTGTGTCCCTCCATGGAGGCCACCGGTGCTATTCTGGCTAGTTTTGCTATCCTGAAGTTTTGCTATCCTCCGTAGATTTTAATACCATTTGCTCCAGACGCCAGGTAATCCAAGCAACTGGATAAATTTAAAGCCTATCAGTTGCCTGAGTGACAGTTTTCTCGTAAAAGTCTTCTAACTTTATACGAGGCTTATTAATGCAGTGATGTAATATACGATGTTGCTGGAGCAAGTTTGCAGTGAAGCGGTTTAATTAAGCCATGTGTAGCCGCGCGACACCATACCTACATTCCTACAAGTTTCTGCCCAAGAGAAGATCTCGCTAAGGCCATGTTGATTTGATTATATGGATGACATCCTCTGGGAACCCCAAAACTGATGCGAGCGTGCGAATAAAAAAAAGTTTGGCAAAAAAAGTTGCTTTCATTCTGAAATCTACATGGTCATGAAGGTTGAACAAATGACACAGGGTATGGTATGACGAATAATCTACTCTTCAAATTAATTTCTTTACATTTTCGTCTGTTTCGTTTGATTTTGGCTTTCTACGACATTGGTATCGTTTTCCGATATTTCTTTGTGCAACTTATGGTATATATTTTCTTATTTTGCAACTGCTGTGTACGATTTACAGTATGATTGAAGACTTTTTTTTGGAAACGGCCGAAAATTCATGCGCGCGCGGATGTCATCCATATAATCCAAATCAACATGGCCTAATCTCGCCTAGAACGTCTGAGATTACTGACTGTGTTAAGTCCCCGGGTATCAATAAAGGGCATCAGAAATAACTTTAATCTGATAAGTCCGTCGATTGAAATCCGGAAACTTGTACAGCATGTACGGAGATTCCCAGACACGGTCATTGGGGACCGTAAGTACCGTTTCCTATGGCTTCAGCCTAGCCTCCTCCAGAATGTCAACGCTGCCTGAAAAGTAGTAAAATTTAGCCAAATAGCTAGAGTAATTTTCCAGGTGAGGTTGGCTGACACAATGAAATGCTCCCCCCTAATAACGCGGGCTCACTCTTTGGGCTAATTATTCGCGCTTTTTTTTACCGAATTCTACTATGCGTAACCCCCTAAGTAAGTAGCGGTTAGAGCGTTGGACTCGGAACCGAGAGGTCCCGGGTTCGATACTCACCGTGGCCCGACGTTGTGCCCTTGGGAAAGGCACTTTACACGACTTCCCCACCTGTACGGTGGAGTGACGTCCACCGAGCCTCTTAGGCTAATCTGTCTGTCAGGGTGCCAAAAACACTTTACGGATTTGGTGCGCCGATGTGACAACATCTCATATTGGCCACTGAGAGCCGTAAAAAATTTTTTAACCCCCTAGGAAGGCCTGGTGGAGGTAAGCTTTGGTGAGACACCTACGGCCTAAACACTAGCAACAGTCACAGTCACAGTAAAGCTGCATGGGCCTATCCAGTGCATGTATGCCGAGGTTCAATTCATAATTCAGTCTTTATTCAAACAACTTGCAGACAATATTCTCAGTCTGAATTAAATTGTTCTGACAATCCAATGGTCAGGACAGTAGAACCATTGTACACTTACAATTACATACATGTATAATCTAAATGATCTATAACGGGCAACGTTGAATAAAATACACATCATAGTAAACAAAACACATCATCAACAAACATTAAGAAGAGGCATCTCTACCGATCGGTAACACTGTGTACAATGTACGGAGGTTCTATATAACTGAATAGGTGAATCTGAGGTTTTTTTTCTCCCTTATCACGGCGAAGTTTTGACGTGCGGCATTAGCTTCCAGCAGGGCGGGTTGGGATAGCTGACATATCGCCGGCTCACGTTGCACTTCCCACTTGACACTTGCTCGGCACGAGGCTGACCCAGTTCCCGTAACGCTGACACGGAAATTCGCCCCAAGAATAACTCACTGGGATACGCGATCCTCAGATAGGAACATCACATGCTTCTCTCATCACGTTTCATGTAACGTTATTTAATAACTCACGCGTCCGGGTAAACTGTCACCGGCAGTCAGCCGCGGAACAGATTTACACCAAAAGGAGATTCGTACATAAGCCAAAAACTGCAGTGATCTGATTGCTATAACTCACCACCTAGGGGTGATTTGTGTTGTCTGTGTTGGTGGCCACGGTGACCGATGCAGCCGTGTTGCGTCTTTTAAAAACAGGTAAGAGGCATCGCATCCAGAACCGTGCCTATCTTTCTAGTTCTATACCTGAATGGGTAAGGGTTAGGATCATGCACGGTTCTGGATAGTCTCCGCATATCCAAGAACGTACCTTTTCCCCGGGCACGGTTCTAAATACGCTTGGAACCTAAGCATGGTTCTGGATGATATACGGCTCTGGATAATCTCCAAGCAGATTCGGTGGGGCAAGGAGACTTTTATGTTGGCCGCCTGTATCCATTGGCCGCCTGTACCCATCGTCGATGGATACGGGGGGCCAACATAGTCCCCTTGCCCCAGCGAATCTGCTTGGATTTGGTTCTGGATACAGCAAGAGGGGTGTTAGGAGTGATTGATGATGATAGCTCCGCAATGATTGACTGGTGACGTTTAGAATGCGCTATCGGGTGACAGACAGCGTCGGTCATCTCTGACAAATGCTTCTTCAATGAAGCCATTTTCAGTCTACGAGAAATGACCAAAATGACCTCAGACAGAGTTTGTCCTCTTTCGATCCTCTTTTTTTCTACATCGAGTACAAATTCTAAACCTGGAATACAAATTCGAAACATCGAATGCAAATTCTTTACATCGAATACAAATTCGAAACATCGAATGCAAATTCGAAACATCGAATTCAAATTCGAAACATCGAATACATTCTAAACAGTACCCCAGTCAGTTGTTTTATTATTCCCGCCCATATTGGTAGGAACCAGGTAGCTAAATACCGTACCGTACCAATCAATATTGATGTGGTTATTCGTATTGCCTTATTTACAGGTTCCCAGTAGAATGGACACTACCTGCACTTGGCCGTGACAGGCGAGCCAGCCTTCACCATATCTACGGAGAGATGTTGACGATATCTCCGCTGGAATGGGCCGCCGGGTGGACCAAGGACGTCGCGCTGGCCACCAGACGCGAGCTCGGCTCCATCATGGATCCGGACGCGCGCGACTCGGAGAAGAAGCAACACAAGAAGACGTCGGGCGGAGGCTACGACGTGTGCTTCTTCTTCGTGAACGAGGAGTCGGACATGACGGTTTGTTTGTTTGTTTGTTTGTTTGTTTGTTTGTTTATTTAGATCTCCATTAGTATGGAAGTCAACTCCATACTATTCTTCCTGGAGTCCGCAACATAACATGAAATAACAATGATAATAATTGCTTTTAGCAATAATAATACATAATACATACAAATCATACTGAAATTATAACAAACTTGAAACAGAATCAATCATAGAGAAAAAAGTGAATTGGAGATCAGAGGTCAAATAATAGAAATAATATGTATGAAATGAAAGTAATAATTGATGTACTTTCCAATAAATACAAAATTGAAGTACCAAAACAGTAAACAAATATTTGAACTGACATAAATAATAACAAAAAATATGAATAACAAATGAATCAATATACACTCAACAAAATATGATTCCTTTCGATTAAATAATGACTACAAAAGAAGAGATCTCACTCAATACTTAGTGGAACAAAGGCATAAGAATAATACCTCTAGAGCAAAGAATATGCCAATATTGTAGTTTAGGTAAAGTAGAAGACGAGGTACATTTTATTGTGGATTGTTCCATGTATGACAGCGAAAGAAACTTTCTTTTCGATTTTGTGTCAAGCAAATACTCCCAATTTAAGTATTTGAATAGTATAGAGAAATTTATATTCCTTGTAGTCTTTAACAAACCAGCTCTAACTACTCATACAACCAACTACATTTATAAGATTACCAGAAAGCGAGAGGAAATTGAAAGTACTTGTGTACTATAGCCGTTTTATTATCAACATTGATGATGTACTTTGTCAATATGTGACCTGTCTGTGGGGCAAAATGTACAATAAAGGTCTTCATTCATAATTTAAATCAATACATACTCGCCCACAACAAAAGGTGTGCGTGGAGGAGACGTCGTTCCTGGTGCACCGGCGGGTGCTGGAGGAAAACTCCGACTACTTCGCAGCGATGTTCGAGTGCGACATGATGGAGAGCAGGCAGAACGTCGCGCACCTTCACGACTTCCGAGCGGAGATCTTCGAGAGCGTCCTGGACTTTCTGTACACGTCGGAATTCCGGCTGGACTACGGGACTCTGGAGGAAGTGTTGGAGATGGCCAATTTCTTACAGGTAATGAGAATTTTAAGCTATCGTGAAGCAGTTTTAACTGTAATGTCCAACACAAGGGATTGGACTTACCTCTAGGACTTGCCCAAGTTCAGAATGACTTCTACAAACACAGATGAACTTTCAAGAATTGAATTGTTCTTCCAAACTCAAGGAATTTGACTTACCGGAATTTTCGACGGGAGTGGTACCAACTTCCGGTGAACTTTGACCCAGTGCTGACGTCAAGCGTGTGGTAAAATCACGTGTCTTCAGCCAGATAACTGATGAAGACCGAAAGATTCAGTCGAAAATTCCTATAATTCCGACGAGTCAAATTCCTTGAGTTGAAGAACAGTTTAATTCTTATGAGTATGAAGTTACCAACTCAGATGAACGTCAATGATAATTTCAATGTGAGGTCGTGGTCCCGAGTTCGAACCCTGCCATGCCACCGATCTTGTGCCCTTGGAAAATGCACTTCACACGACAAATGAGAATGTCTATTGTCCGTTCATGCGTTTGTTCTTTGCCTTGGTGGCGGTATTAAAATAAGTTGGTAAACTTGAGTGCGCCGTCACCACGTGAGTGGGGGATTCCCCACCAGTGTGGTGGATTGATGCTATGTCCGATTGTGATAAATGTTGGAATAAAAAAAATGCTAATTCCCCACAGGTGTTGTCCCTGCTGGACCACATAGCTGGCCTGGTGGACGAGAAAAACTGCGTGACTCTGTTCATCATGGCGGACAAGTACGGCATCAGCAAGGTGACGGACGCGACCGGGAAGGTCCTGAGCGAGAACTATCACAGATATCTGCAGTCCAAGGAGCTAAGCAGGTTCTGGGAATCTAGATTTTTATTATATTTCAGTCCATACCATGGTATGGATGAAATATATTGTGTTCTCTGATGTTTCTTCTTCTTCTCCTCCTTCTCCTTCTCCTGCCACACAGTCAGAGGGATTCAACTCCGCCATCATTCAGCCAAATGACTTGAAATTTGTCATGGAGGTAGAGTGGGCCAATACCCCCAGGCGTTTTTTTCATTTTTTTGACACATGCCTTTGAAAAATTTTTATGAAGGTTTTTTGGGGCATTTTTCGCCAAAAAATGGATTTTTGGATCCTGAGCCCTGGTTTTACAACCAAATGATCTGAAATTCGGTATAAGGGTACCTTGAACATGTGTCTACAGAACAGCAGTCACATTTTTGGCATACACCACTTTCAAATGACTCATTTGGGGGACTTAAATGGCTATTTTCAGCAAAAAAATGGCCAAAAGTGCTATACCCGTTCCATGTTCTATCTAAAGAATGGCACGTTCTATCTGCCGTTGGCCATGGAACACGTGTTCCATTGCGGGTTACCTGAGGTCACATTGCACGTAAGTCATGCGAAATGACCCACACATTCAATTTCATCTGCCTAAGACCTTCAAAATGTATCAAATCTCATCATTGTTAGTATTTGCATACCTGTAAGAAGATTAGTAAAGCTTTCGAGATTCAATGTGCTTGTTCTTGCATCTTTGTTCTCAATTACATAGCTACTATAACGTTACATTTAATTTATTTGAGAATCTTTGCCAGTTTTACACTGGGGTAAGTTTGGAATAGTCCACTTTTGCGTGGGAGGGAGATGGACTGAAATATGCTGTATTTGCTCCCAAGCAAATGTCGGCCTCTCTAGTTTAACATATGTTATCTGTTACTAGATGATGGTCATGGTCAAATGAGATTATAGTCGTGGAATTTATCAAATTCAGCAACTTTTTGGTGGGGTTTTGCCCCTCAAAAACATTACAGTCTAATTGTAACACTCTCCGTGTATTATAGCAAGGACCTAAAAACTGAATGTGTTTGACTTCACTAAGAGAATGAAAAAAAGTTATATTCTACCAGTAACAGTTACACAAGCAACTGGATAGACTTTAAAAACGGTCAGACGTTTCAGTTAGCACCCAATAACTTTCGCCACTGGCTGTAACAAAAATAGTTATATACCCATATATAGACCGATCTGGATCGAACGCATCGAACCCCCTGTTCTATTTCGAACACCTCCGTCAGAATCGCGCTGATTTTGTGTTCGAAATAGAACAGGGGGTTCGATGCGTTCGATCCGGATCGGTCTATTCTAGATCATCTGTTATGTACTAAAGTGTGCTCATTTTCTTACCCAGACTAACCAAGGATCAGCGCGAGCGTGTCCGGCAGAGGCGGTACCGGCACAAGCCCGTGGTGGCCGCCGTGAACGCGCACTACGTCCACTACCCGGAGCCGGGCCTGCGACAGTTCCACTCGTACGACGACAAGACCGACGCCTGGTCGCGGTTCACGCACCTGCCCAGCACGGCCGGCCGGCGCGGGTTTGGTGTGGCCGTGCTGGACAACTACCTGTTCGTGGTCGGCGGCCACGCCAAGCCCAGGGACTACCCGAGGCAGTTCTACTCCACGGGCTCGAAACTGGGCGCCCTACAGAACCAAACCATGTGCTACAACACGTTAACGGACACCTGGTCCAGCACCGCGCCCATACAGCAAGCCCGCGCCTACTTCGGGCTGGTGCCGTGCGGAGACTTTCTGTACGCCGTGGCGGGGTTTCAGTACGACGATCCCATCCGCTCGGTGGAGAGGTACGACCCGAGGGACAACAGCTGGGACTTCGCGAGGGACGTTCCCGAGGGCAGGACGTGCTACGAGCCCGCCGTGGCCTGCATGGGGGACGTCTACGTCAACTGCGAGATCAAGTCGGACAGCGACACGTTCTGGCTGCACAGGTACAGCCCCGCTAGCAACACGTGGACGGCGATCTCCGAGCTGCCGACCAACCGCTGGCGCCACTGCATGGCGGCCGTCAGGGACACCGTGTACATCCTGGGCGCGTATCAGCCGGGTGTGGACTGTTTCAACGTGAGCTCCCAGCAGTGGTTCAGAGTCAGACTTCCTAGAGATATTAAAATCCCGTACGACAGGGGCTGCGCGTGTTTGGAAGATAAAATGTACGTTTTAGACTGTGAGGAGACGTTGTGCCATGACGTCCAGACGAGGAAGTGGACAGACCAGCTGTGCCAGTTCCCACTGGGCGGCTTCGGCATCAAAGCGGTGACTTTGTACCTTCCGGAACGTAAGAAAAGGGATGACGGTGGTGGCACAGAGTCGGAGTGAACTCAGCAAGATCATCATGCCTTTGATACTGAACTTGAACAAGACACGTTGAACTTGAACGACTAACTCATGTCTTTGACACTGACTCAAAAAATCGAACTCACATTTTTTAAAGAACAAAGTTTATTTCTGTCCTCTGTTGTGATAGTACAATATACCTCGAGTCAACAGCTTTATTGCCGATCGTAGTTCTACCTAGAAAACTCGGAGAATGAAATATTGCCAATGAGTCACAGTGTTCATAAAGATTGCGTAGAAACAAAGACAGGAACGCGTTTTTATAGTATGGAAAAAGACATTTACAGTACCAGCAAGACGCCGGTATGATGTATTGGAAAAGAGGAAGATAGTATCTTACCAAGCAGGTAACGAATGTACTTGTATTTTAATGCGGGGTTGAGTGGGGGGGGGGTGTAGATGTGACACAAGAGGGCTAACGCGAACGTTAAACGTTCTGAAGATGTTGTGCACAGAATGTCTGTGATTTTTGTAAATACGCCTTCATTAATTGTAAATCACGAATTTGTACGAATAAAGAATATTGTTCTTGTTATCTTATATGTCTGTGAGGACACCTTACTTGTGGTTTGTTTTCGACCTTTTCGTCGGGCTACTACGCTGCCAATTATACTGTCTTGAAAATTTTACAGTGTCTTGCAGCCACTAAAAGATCTGATTGGAGATTACCTATGTACTTAAGCTGCGCGAGACACACATAGCTAAACTAGGTGTGTAGAAACTTGTACGTATGGGCTACTGTAGGTAATGTACTTATCAGCCCAGACGCGATCATCATCACACCAACAGTGGAACCGGTAACAGATGAAGTAGCCAGGCTTAGGATAATCACAGCACTTGTACCTATCGGCTACGGTAGGGTCTGTAGCCTCTACCAGGCCTCGGGATGTGGCTGGAAAGAGTAGAAATTGACCAAGAAGAGAGATGCTCGTAACATGCCAGAGGAGTTGGTCCGCTAGAGAGTTCCGCAAAATGTACTCTCTAGCGGACCAACTTTTATCTCTCTAACTTTGACCAATTTCTACTTTTTCCAGCCGCTTCTGAAGCCTGGTAGAGGGTAGGTTCTGCACTAATCCTCCCAGGTGCCGTCATCACACCAGCAGTAGAACCGGTAACAGATGAAGTACGCCGCCGCAAGGCCGAGAAAAATCACCAGTACCTATCGGCTACGGTAGGTTCTGTTCTACAATCATTCAAGGTGCCGTCATCGCACCAACAGTGGAACGGGTAACAGACGAAGTACGCTGCCGCCAGGCTTAGAAAAATCACCAGTACCTATCGGCTACGGTAGGTTCTGTTCTACAATCATTCAAGGTGCCGTCGTCGCACCAACAGCGGAATCGGTAACAGTGCAACTTGTACCTATCGGCTACTGTACTAAGGCCACACTGATTTAATTTTATGGATGACATCCTCTGAAGACCCCCAAACTAGTGCGCGCGGGCGAATAAAAAACATTCCAGCCCAAAATAAAAATGCTACTAAGCCACAGGAATACAAAGCTGGTATTGTACATTCGCGGCAGTACTTAGCGACGTACATACGACAAGACGGCACATGCTGGCTTTTTGCGGAATTTATGAATCGGTACTGAGTTCTTGAGTCGTGGAGCTTCGATAGCCTGGGTGCTCGGCTCCGTATTGTCGCTAACTACCCAGGCCTAGAGCCAGGCCAGAGCCTCGGTGGACGTTTTTTTTTTTTTTTGAGGGCGACAGGCGAAAATCAATGCGCGCGCGGATGTCATCCATAAAATTAAGTCGGCGTGGCCTAACTGAAGAAAAAGATTTGACTGGCCCATGCACCACCCTTTGCCAATATTGGAACAACACCGTCTGAACTACCTCGCCCGCTGTTGTTCCAGGCCATGGACCCGTAGTTCCGTCCGCACTAGTTGCGTCACTTGTTTACCCAACACAAGCTTGTCTCCATACCTCTAGACATTCATGGGGATTTTCACTGCCCGAAACTTGTGTAAACCATAGTCCTGCTGGTTCACGAGTCAGTGTTGCTGCAATGTTTATTCCTCACGTTGTCATGTCATCAAATTGTAACCTTAGCATTGATAGGACTCTTCTATGAACTCTCCTAGAACTATCGCAGAGTGGAACTCACTGTCACCAAGTACAGTAGGGGCATTGTCAATAGATAGCTTTAAACAATGTCTAGAGCTAGAAGCTCAAGGGTTAGGTGTAACAAGTCGATCGGTGTAATATAGCCAGCTGCCGCCGCGCCGCGTGCCTGCGAAGCTGGTGTGTTACGCCGAAAGGCAGTTATAGTTATACCAGCTATACAGATACAGATGTCTGAATCCCCTCCTCTCATGGGGATTTTCAGGACCTGAAACCTGTGTGTGAACCGTGCAGCCAAGTCCAGGTGGGTCCATATCAAGGTCCTGTAGTGTTGCTGCAATGTTTATTACCTCCATGAAAAATGGAGGTATTGTTTTTGGCGTGTCTGTCTGTATGTCTGTGTGTGTGTGTGTGTGTGTGTCTGTGTTTCCGCAACTTTGTAGTCAGCATAACTTCAGAACGCCTTTATGGATTGTGATGATATTTGGTATGATGGTAAGTCTTGGAAAGACAAAGGTCAAGGTCAAGTATGGGCCTCCTGGTGGATGACCTTGGTAAACCATAGTCCAGCTGGTTCACAAGTCAGTGTTGCTGCAATGTTTATTCTTCATCACTCTTCACAAAGATTTACCTGTGTCTGAACTCATACCTAAATAGGACTCTCTCCTTTGTCTGATGAAGCCCTACCTTCATGTTCACGGCCTGAAATTTGTGTAAACCATGAAATCAAGTCCAGTGGGTCCACAAGTCCACAGTTACAATGTTTATTTTTCATCAGTATGTTACGTACTTACTCTCTCCACAAACATGGACCTGTGTCAGAACTTATACCGGGTATCTACATATGAGTCTCTGCTCTGAAGCCCTACCTTCATGTTCATGGCCTAAAACTTGTGTATAAACCATTCAGCCAAGCAGTCACAAGTCCACAGTTACAATGTTTATTCCTCCTCATCATGATAAGCCTGTTATGTACACTCTCCAGAAAGACAGACCTGTGTCAGAACTCCAGCCAGTCTTTCATGTACACACAGGTGGACGGGGAAACGGCGCCGCCTTCATGGCATCTGTCAAACACCTGGAGGTGATAAAAAAAAATTCATAAATAAATTATTATTATACATGACCATAGCGGAAAAACACCTTGGCAGCACCCAGACGACAACATTTGGGCACATGTTTGTGTATGACTATGAGTGTGTGTGTCTGTTTGTCTGTCTGTGCATTTGTGTGTGTGTGTGTGTGTCCGTTTGTGTGTGTGTGTCTGTCTGTGCATGTGTGTGTGTCCGTTGTGTGTGCGTGTGCGTGTGTGTGTCCGTTTGTGAGTGTGTGTGTGTGTGTGTGTCCGTTTGTGTGTCTGTCTGTCTGTGCATATGTGTGTGTGTGTGTGTGTGTCTGTCTGTGCATGTGTGTATGCATACAGATATTACTGACAAAGGAAAATTGAAATTGCTACACAAAACCAGGACAAAACTGTTACATTTAGATGTCCACAAATGGGACTTTTAAAAACTGAGACTCTTTACGACCTGGGTGGAGTGAGGAAAGTTGTGTAAACTCAGCCTTTCTCAAAGACACAACATCTTGCAAAGAGAATTTAACATCTTGGTCTCATACCCTCTAGCCTAGTCACTCAGTCCTTTGACGTCACCTAAAATAAAAGTACTAAGGCCACACCAATTTGATTTCTTGGTTAACGGATTCGCCCGCTTCATTTTTTTCTGATTTGCAAATAAAAATAAAATTCAGAATCATCTGCAAAATGCTCATATTTTGCCCTGAACAGTTGAAAACAGTCCTTTTCTTCCTGGTTGTTACAGTTATTCCATCTTTCAATGCAGTGGTATCATTAAAAGTTCAAAATTAATTGTTTAAATTTTGAACCAGCCTAGTGTGTTAACTTCATGGCTCCTATCGTACCATTTTGGGCCGTAATAGGATGCCTAGGCCTTTTTTTTTTTTTCGCCCGCCCTCTCCATTATTTTTCTAGAAAAATCCGTTAACCAAGAAATTAAATTGGTGTGGCCTAATCTGTTTATATGAGCAGAAGTGTACGTACTGGGCAGACCCCGCATGGTATTCTCATGAGTCCTGCTGGCTGCATGATCGGCGTCACTGCTCTGTACAGTTTGGTCTGGCTGTCCTCCGCGGAGCTGCTCTGGCTAGCCACGACCGTCATCTCCAGCTTCCCATCATAGATCAGCGTGTTCAGGATGGTCTCGATGTCTGCAACTGACAGCTGGACCTAACAAGAAAAAGAAAAAAATATTTTATGGCCCTGGTGGCAAATGTTGGCACATTAACATTGGCGCACCAATTATGTACATATATATGCATGTAGTGTGTTTTTGGTACACGTGCAGTTAGACAGATTAGCCTAAGAGGCTCGGTGGGTGTCAGTCCACCGTACAGCTGGGGAAGTTGTGTTAAGTGCCTTTCCTAAGGGCACAACATCAGGGCATTGTGAGCCTCGAACCCGGGTTTTATAGTCAAAGATACTATAAAACCCCATGTCATCACCCTGTGTATAAATCTGTGTTTCCCAAATCTCATGTAAAACATAACCTCTTACCTTGCTGATGCCCAGTTCTGTGATGAACTTACAGACCTCCTTGGAGGAGGCGTAAGAAGCGTTTCTCTGTGCGATGGGTCCCTGCTTGGCTTCTTTAGCAGCAGTGGCCTGGAAGGGAGCAACATCATCGGAGATGTGAGGGAAATGTAGTCTGAAGTTTTGGTACCTACATAGGAAAGTTTGAGGACTATTATTATTATTATTATTTCTTTATTTCAGGCATAACTCGCCCATAAACAACATACATATAAAATACACACACATAATACAATATGACTATATGTACAGACAGGCCCAGTTATTGCGAAAGAATCTGCTGCGGAATATCACTTCAGATTTGAGAACAGATTGGATAATGTTGTTTGAGGACTTGTATAAACGGGATATGAATGATCGCCATGTAGCATCAAATGTGTCAATCCTATTGTAGACAAACATTTCACTTGCACTGCAAAATCTGGGTAGTGACATTATGATGCGAAGACAATTATTGTAAGCAACTTGACACTTTGATACAATTCTAGAACTAACTCTGTCCCACAACTGTGCAGCAAAAAGGTGGGAGCAATGAACTGTCTGTCATGTATCAGGGCAATAGTGACTGGTTCACTGTGCACTAAAGGTAGGTGTTACTGCTAACAATGCTTTTCTTTGGGACTACATTAGCAGTAACATCTACATGTAGCTTCAGTGCATTTACCAACCTGATGAAACTATTTACAGAGGAGCTATTGTAGAGAAGCTCTGAAAATTACTTTGGCATTGTTCTGCTTACTGTCAGACTATCAGCATGTTAATGACACTAATCGAAAGCTGAAAAAAAAATCACCATTTAGGAAATATTTCTACCTTTTGCTGCAGAAACTTGAAGCACTGCTGATTCAAAACCTCAACAAATTCCGACTCAAAGTCCTGGTCACTAAACCAGGCTCCACCCGTCACTGACTGGTCAGGTTCAAGGTTGAACAGCATGTAAACTTTCTTCTTGGAGGCCTGAAATAAACATTTGAGATTCATGAACAAAAAATATGTCATAAACTGTAATCTTAATCTTGCCACTTTAATCATAAAGATCTCAGTTCACCTTGTTAATCAAATGCCAACAGTGGGCTACAAAATACAAACATTTGAGATTCATGAACAAATAAATATTTCCTAAATTGTTATTTTAAAACTCTCCACTCGGTTTAATCATGAAGATTTCAGTTCACCTTGTAACTTACATACCACCAATGTCAGTCTTGGTGTATTGAGGTAAGAAAACAAGTGCTTTAAAAAAAAGCTGTCGTTTGCCGCCATTGTATTTTTGCACAAGAAAATCGCATGCCACAAATGTGTTTCTTCTTTGAATTAAGTGATGATAAGACCATTGAATGAAATCTAGCTATGCTATACTATATACATATGTACATTGGGATTGTCACTATTGGCATGTAGATACTTTAGGAAAAAGATAACCAGAATTGATGCTCATTAGCAGCTAATGCAGTCACCATCTTTAAGTGAGGAAATTGAATTTTTAACTACATCAAAAAATTGTTATCAGTAGAGAATCCAACAAAACATGAGCTGTACATGTGGCAAAGCTATCATGAAAGTTCATCTGCGTTGGTAGTTACATGTTTAAAGTTAAAACTTTTGTTCCAACACAAAGAGGTTCTCTCACCTAGAGCTTTCGACCAGTCACTCTGGTCTTCCTCGGTAGACTGCCCCAGTGAAGCTTGTCATGTGACTTCTTTGAAGTGTGAAGTCAACACTGGGTCAAAGGTATCTGGTAGACCATCTACCTTTGACCCAGTGTTGACGTCACACTTCAAAGAAGTCACGTGACAAGTTTTACTGGGTCAGTCTACTGAGGAAGACCAGAGAACTTTAAACATGTAGCAAAGCCGTATTGCACCACATGCTACTTGAAATAAGGCATCATGCTTTACCTCAATTTAGGATGACAAAACAATACATGTAAGTTATCAGTTTGTTTATGTCTGTACAAACATGTCGTGACGTCGGTGGCGCAACGGTTAGAGCGTTGGACTCGGAACCAAGAGGTCACGGGTTCGATACTCACCGTGGCCCGACGTTGTGCCCTTGGGAAAGGCACTTTACACGACTTCCCTACCATGTACGGTGGAGTGACGCCCACCAAGCCTCTTAGGCTAATTGTCTAACTGGGTGCCAAAAACACCCTATGGATTTGGTGCGCGAATGTGTCAACATCAGCTTATTTGCGACCAAGAGCCATTAAAAAAAAAAAAAATTATGTCTGTACTTACAGCAACTGACTTGACAGACTTGATGAGTTTCTTGCTCTCCAGGTTGCGGAGGATTTTGTTGAGTTGTGTGATCATGATGTTACACTTGTACCTGATGTCCCGGATCCAGATGCCTGCATGCAAACAGACCACAATGATCTGATGTATATTTTTCTTTATTCTTTTTTACTACTAGTTAACTTGTCCATTTGCAAAATGGAAAGACAAAACAGCTGGTTACTCACCTGTGCTGGATATCTCCCCTGCAAAAAACAAAATATATTCTACCAACACAGATCAACTGGTGCAATGGCCATGTGGGTAGAGAACTAAATAAATAATGCTTTGCATTCGGTAGGTCGTGAGTTTGATCCCCGGCCGAGTCATACCAAAGACTTGGTACATACTCCTTTCTCTGCTTAGCACTCAGCATTTGAGAAGAGTATGGGAGTTAAACACACCATTACCAGTGGACTAGCCCCTGCTGTAGTAATTGCACAACTGTGTGGCTCAAGGGCTACAGAAAGGGAGATGGGCACCGCCATAAGCAACCATGCCAATGGAGGACTTTAACAACTTTTTTTAAAACAGATGAACTTTCAAGACCATACTGACCCTTGTTCCCAGCATCTGTGATGATCTGGTACACCAACTTCTCTTGGTTATCTGCACCTTTTATAACACTGAGACAGAACACGGGGAACAAGAAAAGGTAAGGATGAGTAAGTATGGAAAATAGCCATGATAAGATGTAAATTGTATATCCTGGCTGTATAAGGCTGTATGATTGTCATTCCTAAAATTGTATCCAAACCTGTATCTGTAACTGATAGCTGCAAATGAAGGAAACTCCAGTTTAGCCCTTGCCAACAGCAGATACATACATGTACTAGCTTCTCAGCTGCTTCTATCTGTTCCTCACCACAAATTCTATCATCAGTTTCCTATGTGATATGGACTTACAGCTTGTGCAAAGGATTAAAAACTAGAGAGGCCAATATTTGCCCGGAAGCAAATACAGCATATTTCACTCCATTTCATCCCCCCTCATTCCAAAATGGGCTGTTCCATTTTCAATTTTTCCATCCAGTATCAAGTGTCAGCTTGAGCAAAGCTTAAAAAATCAAATGATATCATAAGTTTGCACACTCTGCACAATGACTCTTATCAACTACAGTCAGCAGATTTAACCATGTTCTTACTTTGTGCCTTGGGAATCTTTCAGCCTGTAGATCAGCCCACCAGCTCCTTTTAACACATCGATGCGGCCCTGGAACATTAACATTTACACATCAGCTTCAAAAGTACAAGACCAATGCAGTTAACTGATTATGATGACGACAAGAACAAACAATTGTTACAGAAACAATTCAAACAATCTGCTTTGGAAATACAGACATGCTTTGTAGAGAACTGATTTGAAAAGTTCTGACAACTCTCCAGTGTCACTGACGAAAGGTAGTGGATGCTACCTGAGACGTCTGACCGTTTCCAAAATCATATCAGTTGCTTGAGTAGCTGTTTTTGGCTTATCTCATTACCTGGATGTCTAGCCTTCACCAATGTGACATAGGATTACATTGACGCACAGGTACATAAAATAAAATACACGTGTACATGTACATTGTAATTGGAGGTCAGTTTGGGTTCTTCTTCTTTCATTTGAGGCAGCTGCCTTCAACTAGCTAAAGATTCTGCTGCCTTTTGTGGCTAGTACGCGATGGGGTTCACCAGGCCTCCATCCGGGTGATTTGTAGTAAATCACCAACTCCCAGACAGTATTAGTTTTTGTACCATCGCACACCGGGGCATGCCCCTACTCTTTTTCGAAAGGTGTGGTGGGTTCTTTTACGTGCGCGGGGTATGGCTCTCCCCAAACACGGGACCTCCATTTAACGTCCTATCCGAGGGACGTCCCTAACCGAGGCTATGTACTCATTTACACCTGAGTGAAGTGAGGAAAGTCGTGTAAAGTGCCTTTCCCAAGGGCACAAGATCGGTGACATGGGTGGGGATCGAACCCAGGACCTCTAGGTCCTGAGCCGAAAGCGCTACCGCTACACCACATGACCCCACGGGTTGAGAAGTAATAGAAGTTTGACCCTTACAGTGGACAGCAGCCTGTTGATGGCACTGGCTCTCTGCTGGGCTGTGACCATGGGCATGTGCTTCATGATCAGGGCGTCCGTGATGCCTTTTGGGGTCTCCTGGCATAACTCGATCACTCTGGAGATAAAGTATGATATATCCAGTTATAGAAGTTAAAAGTTATAACTTTTGATCCAACACCATAAAGTTCTCTCACCAGGAGCTTTCGACCAGTCACTCCTCAGTAGACTGACCCAGTGAAGCTTGTCATGTGGCTTCTTTGAAGTGTGACGTCAACACTGGGTCAAAGGTATCTGGTAGAATATGTCCAGTTATAGAACTTAACATATAATGTTACAGAATCGGATATAACATTAGCGATTATTGACAGGGATGCTAAAATATTATTTTTTTAATGTCTATCATCTCGATAGACATAGTCTCTAGTCATTGGGATCAGGGTTCAGGTTTGTGTCAATGTTCTCACTACTTGTGCCCGTGTGTTGCTGGAATTCTCTAACGTTAAAATTAGCTATTGACAGGGAAGAGCCAATACAAGGAAAAACTTAGCACAGTGCAGTAAGTAATAAGTAAATAACACAGATGTCCCGTCCAAGAAAAACAAACTATCGTCTATTAAATAAAACAAGGTGCACTCGGACACCTCAAATACTCATTGGTGTATAAATATAAATCAACAGTCTTGTTCACCGATATCAATATTCACATGCATCAAGCTATCAGTATCACTAGTGATATTAATTAAGTTTAACCGAAGGAAAACATTGTTTTTGCTACGTTTCCTCATCTTCTTCTTCTCCAAACATTGACCTCTGACCTGACTGAACCAGACTGTCTCTCACCATGGTAACTGGTGTTGGGTTACATCATGTTGCAATTTTATAGTAGGAGGGGTTTCGACTCCTGTCATCATATATGTGAATGTGTTTGAGTAAGAATTAACAGAGCAGACTTGTAGGTAAACATTATGCATTTGCTTTGCAAATGTTACTTTTCTAGTTGATAGTCAATTTGGCACATTTTACCTGCTTCTACCAGTTCTACAGGCTCTACCGACTCTTGTTTGATGACGACACCGTCCGTTGAGTCCTGTTCCATCTTGTCTTTGTTGTTTTCCTTTTGCGATGTGCTACCAACAAACCCTCAACTGTTTTTACACCACGAGCACTGTAGCCAATGACCTCAAGTAACCTCTTTACCTTTGACCGCTACCCTCACAGAATTGTTAAACGGCTTCTGATTGGCTGATATATTTTCTCTGCACCAATCAGACAAGTTCTCTCATTTTTCACCACTCACTATCCAAGATGGCGGACGACAAGGAAAATAAGAAGATCGGACTGAAGGTTTGTGAGGTTTTTGGCGCAATTTCCTTTCATCAATTTCATCGTTGGCGATCCAAAACTAATCTAGAACGTTCTCTTGCAGACGACGCTTGATATGGTGGTGGAAGGATGCCGCCTTCCCGTGAAAATGAGCATTCTGCCCAACGAGGAAGAAGAGTGGCGTAAGTCAAACACGAACCAGTGTTGTTTTGTGTGTAGTACAAAATTAATAATCTCCAAGCAGATCCTTCTCGGTGGCAAAAAGACAGTATCAAATTGGCCAGGCAGTATCCATTAGCCATAGAAGCTCCGCGGCCACCGACGGTGGGGATCAGGACAAAAAAAAAAACGGACATATATAAAAATGCAACGATCATTCCCCCACAAACTCTGCTTGGAGAGTACAATATGCTATATGTATGGTTCGTGTCTACTGTTAAGTATGCATATTCGCACATTTTGTTTGTTTCCTGTGAGAAATTCCCGATCAATTGGACATATTCTTATATAAACATATTTGGGTTGGTAGTTAAACTAAAAAAGCTATAAAGTTCCCCATAATTTTTGACTTTCATTCTACAGGAAGTTTATATACTAATAATATAGGTAGTTGGTTGTCATTGTTTTGATGCTTCAGCAAGAATTATTTGGTAAAGGGGGCTTGTGTGTGATTGCATGTGTGTGTTTCATTTATTAACTACAAGTGTGTATGCATGCATGTCCGCCCTGCAGTTTCTGTATGTTCTGGCAGGGGGCACAGTTCAGGACATATAGTACCATTGCAACACGTAGCCTCGTAGGCAGAATGCACTGCACCTGCGCGAAACCCGTAATGTATTGTGCATAGCACTTTGGCAGAACGTCTCATATAACTTATAAGGTTGTATTCGCACATATAAGGAAATTACATCTCATCTGTACAGTAGTTTCCAAATGTTATGTCAGAAAAAATATCCCCTGCAACAGAAAATTTCAACAGGGTTCTGCGCAGGCGCAATACGTTCTGCCGACGTGCTTACCATTGCACATTTCGAATATCAGCGTCTGATTCAACAATACTAAATATGTTTCTTTTCGTGCAGCACTAGCAGAAATCCTCAGCCGGAAGGAAGAAAAGGGGAAACTGGAATTTTATGTCCACTACATCGACTGTGAGTATTTCATAATTTGATAACACATAGTGGAACCATTATCTTTAATATTCGAAAACCCTTTTGTAGCTCCACAATTAAAAGCAAAAGTGTTTGTAACTGTTAGAGTCGAGGACATTGCCTTTGTGGCAGTATATGTTGTACTAGGTAACATAAACGCTGGGGTTGTGTGGCGTAACGGCAGAGCATTCGACTCAGAACCAAGAGGTCCCAGGTTCGAATCCTTCCAACGTTATCCAACCTTGTGCCCTTGGAAAGGCACTTAACCCGACTTTACTCACTTCACTCAGGTGAGTATGCCAGAATGATCATTACCATGATTGTGGGTATCAGAGGAAAGCCAACCAACCAACCAACCAACCAACCAACCAACCAACCAAGTACAATAAACACACGTTTTTCTAAAGCTTCATACAAAAACACCTGCATGTCTTTTGTGTGAATGTAACATTTATTAAACTTAAACTTTCTCCACAAACATCCCTGCAGTTAACAAACGTCTGGATGAGTGGGTGCTGCCAGACAGACTACGGGTGGAAGAACTCCAGTTTCCCAAGAAGGACCAGAAAACTCCCCAGAAACAGACATCCTCCGCGGCTAACTCACGCCCCACCACCCCCGATCGCGAACTCCAGGTGCCGTCCATTATTATTCTACTCAAGTTTCACATTTACTTTTGGATGCCAATGTTACACTTATGTCATCCAGCTCTGATGTTGGTACTGTCCTCCATTATTTTTGTAATGTGGAGTCCGAGTGCTTTGAAATTTAACGTACTTACGGTTATAAGCTCTGAGTTCTATTGTTAGTAGCCAGTGTGTTGCCTTATTTTTTATTATTAATGTGATGTTGTAGCTTCTGTTGATCTTATTATATATGTTTGAAATCCTAGCTTCCTTCTCGAACAATGTAAGCAGATTTGGAGATGAAGATTTTGTATGACAACGATGTGTGGCTAGTCCTGATATGTTATACTATACTATACTATAGTCATAATATATCATAATCATATGTTTTTATTTCCAATCACATCATCACCACACCCATCATTCATGTCGTCAAGTGTTTGTCATCTTAGACCTCCCTATATACTTTGAAGTCACAGTTTTTGTCAACATTGCATGCTGGTGTATGTTTCAACATGTTTAAACGGTGGTGTCATTTCTTTAGGACAAGAAGACTACAGTTGACCGATCTGAGTCAGACAGTCCAAGCCCCTCTTCCTTGGTACCTTAGCGTCAACCCTGAATTTGTTTTCTGTACTTCCCTGTTGTGGTTTTGTTGAGTAGATATCCTTGTGCAGTGTGTGCTTCATATTGTGAGAGCTTCTTTTGCTGGTACTTTTTTTCAGTGTCTTCTGTTTTCTTTTTGTTGCAGCTCTCCAAGAAGTTAAGCCTGCCGGAGCAGACCAGCTCTCCTGCTGCCAAACTAGGAGGGCAGGGGCAGACTCCACAGTCACAGACGGTAGGTGCTTTGCCCCCCCCCCCAAAAAAAATCAACTGTTGATAGTATGAAGGAGATGTACTACATGTATAAGGAAACATTGGGTGCTGCTGCTTTGTCCCCCCAAAAATCAACCATTATTAAGAGGTATGAAATAGATACCAACACTAGATATAGAATTGGGACTTACCCCAAATCTATATCTAGTGTTGGAAGTTAAAGTTCAGTCTTTATTTCATAATGATTTGTACCAACACAGATGAACTTTCATGCTACATTATTAAGAATGTTTGATCGTTAGAAATTCCTGTATTAAAGACTTCAGATTTGCAGCAAATCTGAAGTCTTTTGTGATGCATTAATGACAAGTCACTGGTCCTCCGGGAGTCAAATTTTGAAATTGACACTGATATAGATACAAATACAGCACTGTATGTATATATATATATAATATATTAAGTATCATCTACTTTTGTTTGCTCCCCTGTTACAGAAGTCCAATGCAGGCAGGAAGAGGAAGGCAATATTCCTGGATGAGGTACTAGAGCAGAAATAATTTATTATTGTACTTTATGCATATAAAGTGACGTCTATTTGTTGATCTGTAAGAGGTGGAAAGGTTTGACACCTGCATGAGCACTAGAATACAATCATGTTTAATCAAAGAAAAGATTTAACATTTTAATTTTCTTTGTCATGGCAGAGAATGACAGATACCTTGTTTGATGCTTCAGTGTTTCCAAATGCCCCACAGCCTTTATTTACATGTGCATCCACTGAGTGGAGTTGGTTCAACTGAGCGCTAGAAGTATTTAAACAAGAGTTTTAACGTTTTGGATATGAGGCATGATTCTTTGTTTATTGCACTTCCACTGTTATGGAACCCAGGTGAGGAACACATATTTGTTATCATCTGGATATTGCATGATGTCTTTCAAGACTGTTGTTGCTTGGTTCTTGGTTTGAGTCTGGTTTCTTGTCATGTAACTTAGTAAGACCTCGGGTGGTAGAGTTGTACAGTACATGTATATGCTTCATCCCCCGTTGGATAACTGCTTACCTGTTTGTGCTGTTATTTTCGGCATCTGGTAGTCATAACAGCCAGTGGTGGGTGGCATGGATTTTTCATGTTCCCTTGAACATGGACATGTATATGTGTAAAAATGTACATCTATGTATCAAATGTACAGAAGAAGGAACAGCATATTCCTCTCTCTCTCTATCCGGTTTATCGTCTGTTGTTCCCCGTAACAAGGGTTAGATTTGCTTGAATTCCAATACAGGGGCTTGATGGTAGCCTTCCATTTGCCTCTGTCCTGTGGTTCTTTGGCACAGCAAACTTCAGTACCTGTTGGTGACTGACAAACGTGTTCGATGCAGAAGCAGGACTTACCGCCTGTGTACTGCAACTACCGGGGGTATCTCTGATTGGAGTTTCTGTAGACAAAGAATTCAATTAGGATCTCCACTGGTAAAATCAACATCATCTATGTTGACACATATCAAGCATCAAGAAGAAGTGTTTGTTTGTGTTTGTTATTATATTATGCATTTTTGTCAGTCTCATGCACATGTGATATTCAGCACATATAGTTAGCACAATGTTTTGTAACAAACCTACGTAATTCAGGGTATATAGACATGTATATGTGTATTTCCCTGTCAATGTATGTTTGAGGAAGAAATAAATGAAAAAAATGTCCAAGAAGAAAGACATGTAGTGACGATCGTGTTCGATGCAGAAGCAGGACTTACCGCCTGCCTACTGCAACTCTCTGTCATCGCAGGACTCGCAGGACGCGCCGGCCACGCCGCAGCCGAGCGCCCCGCCGCCCCAGCAGCCGCGGCAGACCGGCAGCATGTCGTCCTCTCACGACGAGAACATCATCACGCGCATCAAGAACATCGAGACCATCGAGCTGGGCAAGTACCGCATCAAGCCATGGTACTTCTCCCCCTACCCACCGGTGAGTACTTAGTTATGTTACATGTTCACCATGGTAACTGATGCTGTAGCAAACACCCTGTGGTGTTAGATTACATTATGTAGCAATTGGCAGGACAGAGTTGGAGGGTCTGGTCCCTGTTGAATGCTTAGTTATGTTTATCTTTGCAGAAGGAAAACCGGTTGTTTTTGCTTTGTTTCTTCTTCTCTCATCCAAGCACATAAGGTCAATGGCCTAGATCAGATAGCTGTAACCATGGTAACTGGTGCTGTATGTGGTGTTAGATTACATTATGTAGCAAGTGACATTGAGGCTATCGAGCTTGATAAGTACTGCATCAAGCCATGGTACTTCTCCCCTTACCCACCAGTGAATACTTAGTTATATTTACCTTTATTTGCCGAAGGAAAACGTATCACTGCAGCAAAATTAGTACCCATGTATGTTGTAGAATATAGCATAGATGTAATTTCTGATATTGTATTTTCTTTTTTCATACATGTTGTTTGCACCTGCAATTATCCCTCGAGCATGTACATGTATTTGCAATAACATTTACATTATTTTGCTCTGGTTCTTCCACTTCTTCATCTATAAACAAGGAAGATCAATGACCTGGACCAGAATGGCTGGCTTTCTTTTTTTTTCAAATTCTGTTTTCTTTAGCCAGGATGGCCCACTCAGTGACTTAGCACTGCTTTGCATGGTAACTGGCACTGGACTAGACACTGTGATGTTGGATTACATTATGTAGCAAGTAGCAGGACAGAGTTAGCTTAGAGGGGTATTCACCATACTATACTGTAGGAATTGTGAAGGTTAACATGATGCACTTGCTTTGCAGATGTTACCTTTCTAAGTATGTTTATGGCTTTTGTAGATCTCCAATTATGTAACCATATGTTGTTATATTTTTTCTGACTCCTGTACATGTGTATATTTGCAGGAGCTGACCACCATCTCTATTGTGTACATCTGTGAGTTCTGCCTGAAGTACGTCAAGAGCAGGAAGTGCCTGGAGAGACACAGAGTAAGACTTTGTTTTTTTTCTTGTCACTTCTTGAAGTTGAAGTTGTCTGATACTTTTTTATTAGGCCTTTCTGACTAGAATATCTTGGAAAGAAAATGACAAAAGTGGAAAATGAAATATCAATTTGTCATGACTTGTAGTGATCCCTATAAAACATTGAATAATTTTTATTGTACACAACAAAGATGGATATTATTCATCTTTGTTGTGTAGAATAAGAAGTGAAGACCTTTAGTTGTATTTTACTAATCATTGTGACAAATACGTTGATGAATTTTAGACATCCAGGTAATGCACAAGAAAATTGTTACTCAAGCAACTGGATAGGTTTTGAAACTTTACTTTTTCAAAATCTATCCAGTTGCTTCAGTAACTGTTTTCTTGTGCAATGTGACAAAATCTTTGTTGTATTTTTTATGTTGTTTCCAGACAAAGTGCACATTGAGACATCCACCCGGCAACGAGATTTACAGAAAAAGCACCATCTCTTTCTTCGAGATCGACGGCAGAAAAAACAAGGTTTGGATAAGTTTTATAGCAGCCATGTACCTTTTCATCCATCTAGTAATGCAACAGAAATACATGTACATGTCTTGTGTAGTGGTGTTGTTTTAGCTGTTGTTTCCTGCTTTCCCTGATTCTATTTGATATTATATCGGTAGATGGCATTGTGGACCTATTAACAGTCAAACAATCACCAGTTGGCTTTCTGTCAGAAACTAATAAGTGAAAGAATATTATAATAGTGATAATGTCTTTTTTATGAGTATTAATTATGTCATGTCATTGTAATAACATCATTTTAGGTCCTTAAGACAATTCATACTTCTTTGATGAAGTTTAGACTTCCAGGTAATGACATATACAAGGAAACAGTTACTCAATCAACTGGATATGATTTTTAAAACTGTCAGACATATCAAGTAGCATCCACTACTGTTCACCAGTAACAGTTGAACACTGGTATTTATCCAAAACCTATGAGTACTCAGAGTCATGATTCAAAATTGTTTTATTTCCACGGCAGATGCTCTGCTGAATTTCACTCCCTTGTACCCCCACTCAGAACATTCTCTGCAAGAACACGCTTAGCCACCTTAACAGCAGAAAATCACCCTTTCTTCCTCAATAGTCCATCAGTCAAGAGAAAATTTCATGCTGACAGTTTCTTCCCCAGAACCACTTCACTGTGGAACAAGCTTCCCCGTGAATGTTTCACCGCAAATTACAACCTCCAACGGTTTAAATCAAGGGTGAACAAATATCTGACCACGCAGTCATCACTGTAACCCAAAACATGTAAGTGGCTCTCACGAGCCTTGTTTTGAGGTGAATCTGAAGTAAATAAAAAAAAATAAAAATTTATGTTATGTTTCAGTTGTACTCCCAGAACCTCTGTCTTCTTGCCAAGCTGTTCCTGGACCACAAGACCCTGTACTACGACACAGACCCTTTCCTCTTCTACGTCATGACAGAGTACGACATCAAGGGCTTTCACATCGTCGGCTTCTTTTCAAAGGTAGGAAACATTTAAATTATGCATATCCATAAGCATAACTGTCTTTTGGTCATGCAATATTCAGTTTGTGCTATGACGAACAGACATGAACCATATACATGGTGTGTACCAGCTCTTACTCTCACTTGTGTATTTTGAACCATGTATGTGTAGGAATACTGTATAAATTTATTAGGACTTAAAATGATGTACATGTGTAAACTGTATTTTTTTTATATATATTTTGTCTGACCCTGACCCTCATGACCTCAATGAAAAGCAGCCTGCAGGCCAATCTGAACTTCTCATGAATAAAGAATGGTTCAAATGTAGAGGAAAAAACGCTATACATGATGTACATGTATACGATTGCCTGTACTTTATATACTTTTTCACAACCAGTTTGTATGATACAAGCAGTAGCTTCAGAAAGAAAGTTAAGGCCACACCGACTTAATTTTATGGATGACATCCTCAGAAGACCCCCAAACTAGTGCGCGCGAGCGAATAAAAAAAAATCCGGCCAAAAATAAAAATGCTGCTAAACCACAGGAATACAAAGCTGGTATTGTGAATAGCGACGTATACAACAAGCCGGCAAGCTGGCATTTTGCGGAATTTATGAATCTGCACTGTAGTTCTTGAATTGTGGAGCTTCGGTAGCCTGGGTGCCCTGCTCCGTATTGTCGCTAACTACCTTGGACTACCCAGGCCTAGAGTCATGACAGAGCCTCGGTGGCGAAAATCAATGCGCGTGTGGATGTCATCCATAAAATTAAGTCGGTGTGGCCTAAGGCAGCAACCAACAGGAAAAATAGTTATTTTTCACCTTTTATACAATGTGTATTAAATATGTATCTCGTTATGAGCAGTGGTGTCCGGATCAATCAAAATTGGTTTTATTTCTCCATAGTAGTTACTGAGGTGGTTAATGGGATTGACAGGTGAAATAAATGTTTTTGGAAACTAGCCATTGCTCGCCTATGTTATCCCCTTGACATGATCGTTGTTAACTTAATTTCCACCCCAGTGATGTTGTTTCTGCCCTGTGTTGTTTTTCCAGGAGAAAGAGTCCACAGAAGACTACAACGTAGCCTGTATATTGACCTTACCACCATATCAGAGAAAAGGATATGGAAAGCTTCTTATAGAATTCAGTAAGTATGCTTCAACTTCAAGTCACGCATAACTGTGTAGGGCTTGAAATACCAGCTGCATATGAAGTTTAAGTATGTTCCATACTTCTTAAATACTGAGTGGTGGAGGTAAAATTAGACTGGTGTGGATAATTTTTTATCTTACCTGCACCAGTGCAGGTTAGCACTTACTTAAAGTATTTCAAGCCCTGTCATGGTTTGTCTTCCAATGAATGATCTGAAGAATATCACTCTTAGATAGTGCTGCATACTTAAACCCAATTTTAGGTTCAGGTCTGGATTCAAGCCCAGAGGTTTAGGTTCAGTTCCGGACTTGTAAGTCCGGATCTAAACCCATGGCATATACAAAATTGCATGTTGGAAACCTTGCAATGTTGTCTGGGTGAAACTTTGGCCACATAACATGGAGGCCGGTACTTGACAATGACCGATGGTAATGTTTTCTTCATTTTGCAGCAAAGATTTTGCAATCTACGGAAGGTTTTAGGTGGTTTGGAAAGAAAAGGGATATGTGAAATAGTCTTTT